AGCAAGCAGGCAGCATTGCTTTGACTCAAGCTCCCAAAGGGGAATTGAGGCTGGCTTTAATTTTACTGTTTTAAAGTTGCAACCATAGGAATGGTCATTGTCAAAAGGGATTTGCATCTGCGTGTGTGTTTTCGTCAAGGCTGCAGTTTCATTTAACTTTTTTTTCTTTTTACATACAAATACAGTATTTTCAGTTTGGAGTAAGATTTTATCACCCCTTTGTTTCTTTACTTCTCTGAAGCGTTTTATGGACGGTGTAGGGAATGATCCACGGTGCATTAGAGAGTGTGTAGTGCACTATTTTCTGTTGTTTGCTGTTTATAATGGGCCTGTGCAACACTTAACTAGAATGGAGGCCCATCAAGACAGACCGATAAGGACCTAGGGATCCACTCTAGTCAATTACTGCGAAGTGCCAGGTTCAACTCAGTGGGCCTTTTATGAAGTACACCAGCTGAGTAAACAAATTAATCGTGCAGCCATGGTTCCCCAACACAACCACGCGGCCCAGGGCAATCATACATCAGACAGAGTGATAGCGACTGTCTCCACCAGGAAATAGAAGGGTTCCACTATTAAACATAGGCAACCACATAGGACTCATTGGCTATTGGCCATCACACTTATTCAGCCTCTCAACTGTGCTGTTCTGTTTCTGCTGGCGTTTTACACCCTAACACTGGCTTTTTTTTTTTTTTTTTTTAAGGGGGAGGTTATGTTGTGGAATTCTGGCTTTTCCCCAACGATTCGCACGTATAAGAGAGGCGATAAAATGGAGCAAATAGTCAATAGATTGTCCAACTAAACATGTCATCGAAGCAGTAAACGTGAAATAAGAATAATATTGAGAGCGAGGATGCACGATATTGGATGTTTGCCAATAGCCAATATGCTCATATTTTCCAACTCGTTTTGGCCGACTGCCGACGAATGCACATATTTTTTTCCGCCTAATTGCGGAGAACATCAAGCCTCGACTGTGGTGGAATTAACATATTATTATGCTTATCGTGACGGCAGATGCAGACATAAAACACAATGCTTTTCAAGTGTACACATTTGCCGAGCAAAATAAGAAAACTACTTTATCTTACATGTAAACTTTATCTGTAAAGATGCTATCTGCTTGTTGCTGTTCATTTAGGGCGGATGCCAGTATTTCATTTTAAAGCCTTTATCGGCCAGTGCAGATGACATGCTGAGATCATCATGGATTCCTCTCATCGAGGGCTCTTTGTATTGATTAATCCTCAGACACAGTTATAAATATGAATTACAATTTTCATGGGTTTACGCAAGAACTATGTGTTTTTTCTGCAAAAAAAAGAAAAGAAAGTTCAAAAAGAAGTCTTGAGTCTCCTTTTCAGTCTTCTGATTTGATCTTAAAGTAGTCGGATCCACAGCACCCTGCGGTGGTGTCGTCTTCAGCTGGTGGATGGGGCAGGTTGTGGTCCTGTAATCACTACAATGTGCAGTAATCTGCTGCTCCAGAGAGGGCAACAAACAGTGTGTGTCTGTGCTTGTGTGTGTGTGTGTGTGTGTGTGTGTGTGTGTGTGTTCCACGGTGTCTAAAAATGGAATCACATTACTCCAGGTTCAAACTAAGTTAGGATGTTGTTAAGCTTGTACAGCAGACTGTAGCTTGTCCAGGAACACAAACCGTTTGTTGACTTTGAAACGTTTCGAACACCATAGCTCTAATTCTAGCTCCTGGATTTGTTTGTGTATGCATAGTTTGAAACGCAGTGTTAATGCTGGCAGTTTTAGGCCATATTTGCTTCACTGTTAATAAATAAATAATGACTGCACTGTGCCACAGAGAGAAAAAAAAAGAAATTTATAATTGAATTAAGTTTAAATATGCAGAATATGAAATATCAATTAATAACTAAAAATATCTGTAAATAAACCAAAAGATTTTTTTAACTAACCTGATTTCCTTTCTAGCAAAAATATTTTGATGAGTGAAACATCTATGTCCCTCATGTACTTTATATTCCCTTTAGCATATGCTGCATAGAAATTCTTGGTGGGCATTGCTTTAATTAAGATTCAGGACACGCACTGCTGTTGAAGATTCGGCCATTTATGAACACTTTCAGGGATCAAAGCAGATTACTACCCAATAATACGTCCATGTGAAGAGGAGAATAAATGGAGAGAGCGAGAGTCTTTGCTTCGTGCTATTGATGTATCTTGCATGTGAGAAATTGATTTGTCCCTCTGACAAATAAAACTGCTTGCATCCTAATTCCGGTCCACAACCACCGCCAGTGATGAAATGTCGACATTGAAAACTTAACCGTCGTGTAACGGTCTGGGCATCGAGGCACTGTTTAAAGGCCCATAACACATATTTCCTCAATAGGCTTGAGTAAAGCTACAACTGGTTTGGTTCTTTTACATGACAGATTCCTGTCAGTGCTGCTTTTTTTTTTTTTTTTTTAAAGCGCTTTTATCCATGTGTTGAGGAGGTCTTTGCTAAGCCGGAAAAAGGTTATGTCACATCTGTGCACCGAACAGGATTTAGCAACATTTTAATCTGAATCTGATGACACCCGGAGGGTTGCTGTCTTCTGCTGCCACTCAGTTAAATATGATCAAAAACAACTTCCTCGCAATCCTGATGAAGCAGGTTAGCAAAGGTTTGGACTGTTTAAAGTGAAACTATGCAGCCTTTGAAAGAGACATTCTTTCTCTTCACTCCATAAGCAAGAAATTGCACACTGTTAAACTTGAGATCGATATATCTGTGTAACTATCACAACTGTTAGATAGTCTGATGGTTACTTGTGCTACTATTACACTACATTTGAGCGTTTACCACTGTCACTGTTTAACTAACTGCATACTGTATTTATTAAGCAGTAACCAGGATTTTATTTACCTCCTGTATCT